GGAGGAGGAGAAGGAGAAGAAAACAAGACAGACTGAGGATTGACCAGCAGATTTAGTATGTGGCAAATGTTGTTGAACTGAACACAGGCAGTTTGGGTGTACTTGAGGCTCATGGGATTTGGGAAGCCAACTGGAATGGATTCAGAAAGAAAGGGTGAAGAGAAATCTAAGACAGTTAACGTAGATGACTCATTCAAGGATATAGGCTAGAGCGGTGAAATATAGGCTGGGTGTGGTGGCTCAGACCAGTAATCCCAGCACTTTGGGAGGCTGAGGCAGGTGGATCACCTGAGGTCAGGAGTTCGAGACCAACCTGTCCAACGTGGTGAAACCCCATCTCCACTAAAAATACAAAAATTAGCTGGATGTGGTGGCGAATTCCTGTAATCCCAGCAACTTCGGAGGCTGAGGCAGGAGAATCACTTGAACCCGGGAGATGGAGACTGCAGTGAGCCAAGATGGCACTACTGCACTCCAGCCTGGGCAACAAGAGCAAAATTCCATCTCGAATAAATAAATAAATAAAGGGAACACATAAATGAGATCATAGCTGGGGCAGAAGAGGGAACTGAATCAAGGCCTGTGGGCTGTTTTCATTTCTACCGCAGCATGCTTGTACACTCAGAGTGATCCTGATCAGCAGACAAAGCAGGTGAGGTAGGAGAGACCATAGAGAATTTCTGGCGTGAAATCCTTGAGAAGGTGAAGTGTAGGGACAAGGCGACCAAGTAAACAGATTAGCTTTAGGTCGGAGCACATGGGACAGTTTAAGGCCTCACTGCATTCTTGGCAACAGAGTGATCGCTGAGGTTAATTTTAAACCCACAGCGTGTGAGAGAGGCATGTCTTTGGAATTTGTTATTACTATCAGAACACAGTTAGCCCTCTGTATCCGTGGGTTCTGCACCTGTGGATTCAACTCACCATGGATTAAAGATATAATTTTGTAAAAAATTCAATCTAGGGTGGAGGGAGTGGAGATAGTTAGTGGGTACAAAAATATATTTAGATAGAATGAATAAGATCTAGTATTTAATAGCACAACAGCATAGCTGCAATCAACAATAATTTATCATACATTTAGAAATAACTCTAGGAGGCAGAGCAAGGTGGCTCCCGCCTGTAATCCCAGCACTTTGGGAGGCCGACCTCCAAATCAAGAGGTCAGGAGTTTGAGACCAGCCTGACTAACATGGTGAAACCCATCTCTACTGAAAATACAAAAATTAGCCAGGCATTGTGGCGCGCACCTGTAATTCCAACTACTCATGAGGCTGAGGTAGGAGAATAGCTTGAACCCGGGAGATGGAGGTTGCAGTGAGCCAAGATTGCACCACTGCGCTCCAGCCTGGCAACAAAGCAAGACTCTGTCTCAAAAATAAATAAATAAATAAATAACTGTAGGAGTATAATTGGATGGTTTGTAACACAAAGAAAGGATAAATGCCTGAGGTGCTGACCACTTCATTTACCTTGATGTGATTACTGTGCGTTGCATGCCTGTATCAAAATACCTCATGTACCCCATAAATATGTACACCTACTATGTACCCACACATTTTTAATTAGAAAAAGAAAGCTACAAAAAAATCTATACTAAACATGTACAAACTTTTTTCCTGTAATTATTCCCTGAACAATACAGTGTAACAGCTGTTTACATAGCATTTACATTATATTAGATATTATAAATAATATATATTCCAACATTAATTTATATTATACTAATAAATAATGTTAGAAATAATCTCAAGATGATTGAAAGGATACAAGAGAATATGTGTAGATTATATGCAAACACTGCCTCATTTTATTTCAGGGACTTGAGCATCTGTGGATTTTGGCATCCACAGGAGATCCTGGAACGAGTCCTCAGGTATACTGAAGGACAGCTGTATTCACTTTGAAATGCAAGTATACATTTGAGATATGACATAAAGTGAAATATTAAAATTTCATCAATAGGTTAATAAAGCAATTATTGATTCTTATAAAAAATATTGATTTAATATCCAAAAACAATTATTAAGAACTTTCAAATATTGAAGCACATAAGGAAACAGATTGACAGTTTACGTGAATATTGAGAGCTTTATAACTTTGGGAAGAATATATCCTCTTTAAGCCAACAATGTATTTTAAAAAGTTAAAATATAAAATATGTGTATAAAATATGTAAATATTTTATATCATATGATGTACAAATTTAAATGTATACGTAATAAATATATATTAACATAATAAAGATTATGTTGTCATAATTTTTATCATTTTAGAATTGCTTGATGAATATCATTTATAACACTAAACAACATGCGTGCCTTTTATTAACCAAATTTATTTTTATTATTTAATATCATTCAGGCCATGAATCTTTGAAGAAAAAGTCTTCTTCGAAGAAAAAGTATTCTTTTCCAAAAGAGTAAGGATATCAGTATCCTTCTTCTTGCCCAGGCTACAGACCTTTCCATTCCCCTCAATTGAGTATGGGAGGCAGAAGTGAAACTTGTTTTTATAGCAGCTGCATCTATAATAAATCATTTTCAATTCAGACGGAACAAAGAACAGGCAAAGTACAAAGATAAAATGATAGTGGTAGGCAATAAATGGGCATGTTATGTTCTCACTAATCTAACTTCAAAGGACAGACTTATAATAATACTTTTAAAAGGTAATTTCTTATAGCTTTGAGTCTGTGGAGACTAAATAAAAAGCTTCTCAGAATAATTGCTATATCCTGGTATTTTCAGTAGTTTTTTGGCTACCAAAGAATTGTTTAAATCTGTCTAAGTTATGTCTCCAAGGTACAAAGCTCCTTCTACAAAACATGCTACTAAAATATGTTTTCCTGACTTATATTTTACTGTGTATCAGTTGGTGATATTATTAAATATCCATGTCTTATATCAGATATTTGGATATGCAGAAACAAATAGAAGTTGCCTTAAAGTTTGGTACAGTAGCTTAATGAAAACTTTAACAATTCTTCCCCTTTATTCTTTGCCATGATTTCTGAGTATAGCACAACAATCCAAGAAATAGTTATAAAATAAAAAATTAGGAAATAAAGTTGCCATGCAGTTGTCATTGGCAAAGAAAAAACAAACATGGCTAAGGCCATAAGTGGCTTAGGAATTACAAATGTATAATTGCTTCATTCATGACTTTTAGCTCTGCATTTAGAAAGAAATTTCAGCACAGTTTAAGGTAGGGGCTCTTCAGCCAACATCAAAGTCCGTGACATACAAAAGATTTTAAAACTCTCTTATCTCTTTATGCAAGACATTCAGAAAGGTTGAATAGCAACTAATACATGCTTTTAAAAAAAGCGTAAGCAAAAAAAAAAAAAAGGCTTAATATTATGCTTTACAGAGAGTAACGGCAACACAGGCCTTATAAGCAACTAATGATTTATTTGCTGAAATTTGCTAAAGAAGTAAACCCAGTGATATGGCCAGAGAGAAGTTACCCTTCCATGACACTTGATGAAAGACACTACCACCTTTCCATGGAAATGAAAGCTGAAATGCACATAAAATTTCAGAGATTTTTTTTTTTTTTTTTGAGATGGGGTCTCGCTCTGCCACCCAGGCGGGAATGCAGTGGTGCAATCTCGGCTCAGTGTAACCTCCACCGCCCGGTTCAAGCAAGTCTCCTGCCTCAGCCTCCTGA